AAGCAGACTGTTGGCAAAGGCATGGAATCTGAGTCTTGGAGGTTGCCCAGATGGTTTGCTGTGACTAGAACTCAGTGCCAGGTGGGAGAGAACTGGGTGGAGCCATACCAGGAGTAGCTGTGTGCACCACACATAGATGTCTACCACATATAGGTGGTGAGTCCCAATCCTACTATATAAGGGGGAGGGGGGTATGGTGGAAGGCCTGTTTAGCCCAGTATAATTGGCCCTGAAGAAAGGTTACTGAAAGTAGTGGCAGTAGCTACTACTAGTATGGAAACAGCAGGCTTGTTAGACAGAATTCTGTGGGATGGGCAAGGGTGTGGGCCAAAGTAGGTTAGTAAGTATTGGAATAAAGAGAAAGGATGGACCGGGAACAAGTTGAAGAGGAAGAGGAAGTGGTCACGCTTAGTTTTGCGTTTAGAAAGTAAGGGAGGAGGCGGAATGTGGGCTTCGGAATGTGGATCACCGGAGGAGGAGCATGTTTGGGACCGGGGTGGTTCGTTGGGTCTGGAAGGTCTGTGTGGGGACAGTCGAGCCGAAGAAGCTGTTGGAGACCTCAAGAGGGAGCGCTGGACCAGATGCACGCACTTGGGGGTTATTAGCGGAGTCTGGGCATCCTGGAGGCTTTATGGGATGAGGAGAGTTTAGGACCACGGTAGGCCCCTCTGGACTCTCGACACTAAAGAGAGAGAAAGGGAGCCTGAAGAATTCTGTACCCAGAGAGGATGGTGGCGTTCAGCGCGGAGGAGACCCACACCATTGTCCGTGTTTATTGGGCTAGAGCCAAGCGACTGCAGTGCAGACACACAGCAGAGAGCTGCCTGGTGCCAGGAGAGAAATTGGGAGCTTGGGGTTCTCTCGAGGCCTTGGCCGTGCAAGTGAAGAGTTGAGTAGGTTGGTCATTAGCGGGAGGGTCTCAAAAACTTGGGGGTGCTGGTGTGTTTCCATTTCATTATGTAGATAGGAGCCTCAGTAGACCTTATCTACATAGATTTTTCTGCTGAAAAGAATCCAACCAAAAAGGAAATGGTTAGATTTACCTAGTTCCCCATCCTCTAATCGGAAAAGAACCGTCCCGGATGTCCCCAGCTCTTTCTTCCACGTGTGTGACTAGAATCTGACCCCGAGTAATGATCTTACGTCACTCTGTCGAATAGTCTATATAGCTGAACTCTGGATCAGGGAAAAAGGGAAGCATCAGGCAAACTGTTGTACTTAGGCAGTCTATATGCTAGCAGGAGACGATCGGCAAAACAACAAAACCCAGATGCAGGCACGAATGTCTGGAAGAACTTTAAGCAGAAGAGTGATGTAAATTGAAACCATTCGGGAATAATCTGCCTACACAGAATCAGCTTACATCATTGAAAACATCACAGAATGAGGGAATCAACAAAGATAAATTAACTCGAACAGAAAATTACTGCATGGTTTCTATCATTGAACAAAATTAAGAAACAGATTCAATCTAAAACCCCGGGATTCTGCAGAAGAGCATTAGAGGCAGGGCTCAAAGTGGACGGGTTCTGTGAACCGTAGAGGGATTATTTTATCTTGGTGGTGGATGTGATGTGGTCGATCGCATTCGGTGAGGTGTGAACCTGTACCTCTGAGACATACACAGTTGTAAACTAGTATCACATCAGTTATTTTAAAAGGAAGTGAGGGGCCGGAGAGATAATACAGCAGGTAAGGCACTTGCCTTGCACTTGGCTGACTGGGTTCAATTCCCAGCGTCCCCCGAGCCCTGCCAGAATCACTTCCTGAGTGCAGATCCAGGAGTACACCCTGAGCATGGCCGGTTGTGGCCCCCAAACAAAAAGCTACAGCCCAGATCCTGAGGAACTCAATTTTTCATCACAAATGAAAGGGAAAATTAGCAAAGGAACCTGGGCCTAAGCTGTGGGAGAGGAAGACTGGCCGGCATGTCAGGCAACTCAGCACAGGGCCTCCCTCAGCATGGGAGCACTTGGTTTTGCAGTGTCTTGGAGACCAGGATGAAAGACAGGGTGTGGTGAGAGCCCATTGTGGTTTTCACTTGCATTTCCTGTCGGCTAGTGATGTTGAACAGCTTTTTGTGTGTTGCCCATCCTGCATAAACAGCCTGCTAGTGGAAGATTTGCATGTCTTTAACCCTTTTTATTTTTATTTTATTTTTAAAATTTTTTTAAATTTTATTGAATCACTGTGAGATAGTTACAAGCTTTCATGTTTGGGTTACAATCACACAATGATCAAACACTCATCCCTCCACCAGTGCACATTTCCCACTACCAATATCCCTGGTATGTCCCCCCCTTTCCCACCCTCCCCCTGCCTCCGTGGCAGACATGATTCCCCATACTCTCTCTTTGCTTTTGGACGTTATGGTTTGCAATACAGACCCTGAGAGGTTATCATGTTTGGTCCTTTGTCTACTTTCTGCACACATCTCCCATCCCGACCGATTCCTCCAGCCAGCATTTTCTTAGTGATCCCTTCTCTGTTCCAGCTGCCTTCTCCCCTTTGCTCATGAGGCAGGCTTCCAGCTATGGAGCAATCTAGCTGTCCCATGTATCTACTATCCTTAGGTGTCAGCCTCATGATATGTTGTTTTATACTCCACAAATGAGTGCAGTCCTTCTATGTCTGTCCCTATCTTTAACCCTTTTTATATGTGGAGTGTCTAACTGTTGAGTTTTGAGGATTCTTTATAGAGTCCAGATGGTAGACCTTTTATGGATATGTGATGTACAGACCTTACTGTAGCACTGTAGCACTCTCCTCTCCCATTGTTCATCGATTTGCTCGAGCAGGCACCAGTAACGTCTCCATTGTGAGACTTGTTAACTGTTAAATATGCCACGGGGAGCTTGCCAGGCTCTGCCGTGCGGGTGGGATACTCTCAGTAGAGAGGGATGGAGGAATCGAACCCAAGTCGGCTGCGTGCGAGGCACATGCCCTACCCACTGTGCTGTCACTCCAGCCACAAACCTTATTTCTGGGTATATTGTCCCTTCGATAGCAAGACCAAGAATCCCAAGTTTTTGTGCCAGAGGGATGGTTCATGGGGTTGGGGCACGGGCTTTGCTTGCAGGAGCCTCAGCCTCTGCCCTGCATGGTCTCTCAGCACCCCTGGGCCCCACCCTGTACCCCCCCTGGGGAGCAGCGCCCAAGCGCACCTGGATGTGGCCCTGCCAACACAAAACAAAACGAAACGAAAAGGAACAGCAACTTTTTCTTTGCCCAATTCCAGATGCTCAGGCTTTGAAGACTGCATAATGTTTGGAGTTCATCTTTGTAGGGTTTAGGTTAGAGTGTTTCTCCCTCCCCTCCTCTCCCCTCCCCTGCTTCCCCTTTGCCCTCCTCCTACCCCTCAGGGGTGGCCAGTGGCTTCAGAACTGTGCACTAAGAATGACTTTCCACCTTGGACTGGTGCTTTTGCATTTCTGTCAAAAGTCAGTTGATGCAAATGTATATGGATTTGCTTGGGGGGTGGTTGTTTTAAATACTATGTTTGTTCATATTTATTACGGACATTTTTAGAAGATGCCAACATAGAAAATGAAAAAAACTGCCTAATCAACATAAGCCTTATTACATTTTCGTCTCATTTTTTTCTCTGCTCTTTTTTTTTGAGGATGGTATGTGGCAAATAGTTGAATTCACCCTACCTTTGTACTTAAGACTTCCCGTGTAAATACTTTCTATGTACAAATGTTTGTTAGTATTGTTTCAGTAATTCTATAGCATTCTATTTTGTGCAGTCTATCAGTATTTAAAATATGTCTTTTTAAGTTTAGGGTTTTTTTTCTTCTTTTTTTGACTTACTCCTAACTCTATGCTCAGGGATCACTCCTGGCAGAACTTGAGGCGCCAGATGTGGTCCTGGGGATCAAACCTGGCTCCTTTTGTTTTACTTTTTAAAAAGTTGTCTGTCTTTTACTATTTTGGTTAACCCTTTTAGTTAATTAGTGGGTAAAAGATTTGGGCATTTGAATCTTGCTATTTCATTCTCCCTTTGCTTCTGAAGGTGACACCTCACTTGCACTCACCTAGTGTTACTTGCTCTAGCTACGGTAATATAGGGATGATTGAGACTCACCCTGAAGGCTTTTAATCTAAGTTTTAAAATTATTCAGTTATCCTAATATGACTTCTGTTCGGCAGAAATTCTGTGAGACTCTGCTTGGCACTAGATATTCTAATTTTCAGATAGTGTTTGTTTATAGAATAAGTATGATTTGCCGTTTACACATAGTCATATTTTGTGATGTATAGTTATGATTTGGGAAATACGTGGTGATTCAGCAAAAATACTTTTTGTTTTAAGATTAAAGTTTGGAACGGGGCCTGGAGAGAGAGACACCTGTCAGGGTGCCTGCTTTGCGCGCAGCCAACCGAGGTTTGGGTCCCTGGAACCCCCAATGGCTCTTGATCCCCCAGGCACCTATAGGTGTGACCCAAAACCAAAAAATAAGTACATAAAAAAATTGGGGTGCGGGGCTGGAGCAATAGCACAGCGGGTAGGGCGTTTGCCTTGTACAAGGCCGACCCGGGTTCGATTCCCAGCATCCCATATGGTCCCCCAAGCACTGCCGGAGTAACTCCTGAGTGCATGAACCAGGAGGAACCCCTGTGCATCGCTGGGTGTGACCCAAAAAGGGAAAAAAAAATTGGGGTGAGGGATGGAGCGATAGTACAGAGGTCAGACATTTTTCCACACAAAATTGATCTCAACACTCAGGAGTGATCCCAGAGCGCAGGCCAGGAGGAGGCCCCCGAGCACTGCCGGGGGTAGTCCAGAAACCAAAGAAGAGGAACTTTTTTCAGGGATAATTGTTTCAAACGTGTGCTTGTGCTGGGGACTGGAGCACTGTGCAGCGGGTAGGGTGATTGCCCCGCATCCCTCGCACTGCTCCCTGAGCTCCATCAGGCACGGCTCAGCAGACAGTAAAAAAACTCAATTTGTGCTTGTGCTCTGCTTCTGATGGTGCGGTTTTCCCTCCTTCCACTAGAAAGCGATTGATCTCGCCAGCAAAGCGGCCCAGGAAGACAAGGCCGGGAACTACGAGGAGGCCCTGCAGCTGTACCAGCACGCCGTGCAGTATTTCCTCCACGTGGTCAAGTGTAAGCTCCTGCTCCAGGTGTTATTCAGAGTCACAGAGAGGAGGAATGGCGCTTTACTGATGGAAACGGAATGCAGTGCCAGGATGCTCTAAGTCATCAGTTGGGAGGGGAAATCCCATTAGCTCTCCAGGACACACTAGTTTCATCTTAGGTGCTCATCTAACACTTGTATGCAGATGTCAGTTACACAGTTCATTATTCAGAGGGTCACTGTCCTGCGGTGACCTGGGCTTCCCCTAGTGTGTTCAGGGACGTTCTCCATCCGCTCTTGCATCCCCACCCTGGCCAGCCGATGCGGGACAAAGGGACGGGAGCCACAGCTTGGTTGGTAATCAGGGGCCGTTTATGAAAGTCTCATAGCATTAGGTAAAGAGAAATCATGGAGGGTTGGGGGTGGTAATTACACATAGGTGTGATTGAACGTTATCATGGACAGTGAGCAGATGCCCTTCCTTCAGGGCAAATTCTTCTAGGAGATCCACTCAGGGACAGTATGTCATCTAGGGGCTTCAGCCCTCTGGATTCCTACTAGGAGATCCACCCAAGGGCGGAATTCTCTCTAAGTGCATATTGCTTTCTCCTTTCCTTTGCCAGTAATCCATTTAAACAATCTTATTAAATTTACTTCCAATAATATTTCTAGTCATTTTGTAGGAACACAATAAGAGCTTTATAAGCTTAAGTGGTGGCTCTTCCTGGGAACATCTCACTATATATCCCAGATCACACTCCGTAGGCTAAGTTAGTTTTCCCTAACTCCATCAGGGTCCTTATTCCTCTACAGGGGCTGGGGCAGTAGTATAGTGGGTAGGGCATTTGCCTTGCACATGGCCGACCAGGATTCGATTCCTCCATCCCTCTCGGAGAACCTGGCAAGAGACCGAGAGTATCCTGCCCGCATGGCAGAGCCTGGCAAGCTCCCCGTGGCGTATTCGATATGCCAAAACAGTAACAACAAGTCTCACAATGGAGACATTACTGGTGCCCATGCGAGCAAATCGATGAACAGCGGGAGGACAGTGCTCCAGTGCTCATTGTCTAATAACTTTTGTCTGAGAAAGCGGATTTCAGCTGTGTGCCCAGAATTTAAGAGACTAAGAAACCCCAAGTATGAAATGATTTCGTATGATTCAGCATTAATATATAATATCCTGTTTTGTTCTGAAAAAATCTTTTAATCATACCACTGTTGACCTCCAGCATTGTGGAAGGAATAAAAAAAAGAATTGATAATTGTTTATTACAACTGGTATTAGAGACAGTCCTCCCCCCCCAAATCCATAGTTCTTTTTTAAAATGTATGTCTAAGAGTTTAACTGTTTCGTATAAAACACTAATGTGAAAAATTCTCATTTCCCTTCCACAGATGAAACACAGGGAGATAAAGCCAAACAAAGTATCAGGGTAAAGTGCACAGAATATCTTGATAGAGCGGAAAAACTAAAGGAGTACCTGAAAAAGAAAGAGAAGAAACCCCAGAAGCCAGTGAAAGAGGGACAGCCAAGCCCAGCTGAGGAGAAGGGGTATGTATTCTAGCAACTATTTCAACCTTTATTAAATATCTTTTGTTCAGCTACTGACATTGAGCCATGCGCCATATCTTCTCTACTGCCTGTTTTTATTGATAAAGTTTTGTTGGAACGTAATTGCAGCCTTTCATTTATCTATTGTCTGGGGGCATTTGTGTCATACCAACCAAATCAAGTACGTGTGACTAAAACTCTGTGGCCCATATAACATTAAAATTATTGCTCATCAGTCCTTAACAGAAAATGTTTGTGAGCCCCTAATGTGTCAGACTCAGGACATTTAAATCCTCAAACGATCCTCTATGATCATTTAGTAGTAGTATAGGAGAACACTGGTAGGAATGGTTCTGGAGTCTGTGCCCTCTGGCCATTAAATAATATTGAAGACGTTATTTCCAGATGCCTACTTTATTCAGCCTAATAGGTTGGAGATTATTCTCTGCTGAGTGCTGGGACACTTCCACCCTCACCCACTGGCCATTTTGTTGGCGCCAGGAGTGGTTCCAGAGGACACAGACTGACGGACCCACGAGGCTCTAGGGGATTGGGAGATGGTAGTCAGTGTGCATGCCTTGCACGGGCCTGGCCCGGGTTCAATCTCGGGTGCCACATGGCCTCTGAGCATTGTCAGGTGTCCTGCAGTCCCCCCCCCCCCCCCCCCCCCCAACCCACCGTGGCCTCTGGACAGCCGACTGCTTCATGCTGTGTGAGAGTTTGAAGAAAGGGACAAGCACCAGGTTTTGTAGTCCTGGTCTGCGAACCCAAAGAGCACTTCCTCTTCTGCAGCTACAGCATTAGCGTAACAAAACCCACATCCCTGCTGATCCTTGGGTTGTGGAGTTTCAGCAGATGGGACTTTGCCAGGGTTCTTGGAATTAAAAAAAGGCCGCTGAGGCTATTGTTGCCAGACTGGAATTCCGAACTAGTGGGGGGCTGCTGGAAGTGACTTAAAGGCCACCACCTGGATGGCCTGGGTAATCCCTGGCATCAGAAGGCCTGAGCAGCACTGACTCCCCAGTGGGGCCCCCCTTGAATGCTGACCCTGGTGGCCCAGAGTCAGAGGGAGTCACCTTGTGTCTCCAGAGCATAGCTTCGAAGTCTCCTTGGAACACTCCACAGCTAACCCAGACCTGGCTGAGAAAATCCTTTGCAGAAGTGCCAAGATCTCAGCCCCCCTCCCCCACTCCGTGCTAGCAGTTGTGTTCTCTCCTCCCTGGGAGCGGAGGCTCACAGAGTCTTGGAGCCCCTCTGGCTTGCTCTAAGAGGCTTCCTGCTAGTCGGGGTGCGCCGGTTCTCCTGTCTGGAGCAGCATGGTTCACTTTGGCTCATTTAAGCACAAATGAGTTCATTACAGTGGAGCTTACAGAATTGGGGGGTGGGAGCCAGGCAGGCGTTCCCTATCACTGGGAGCAATGCCCCGCCTGATGAGGGGCGTTCAGTTTAGGATCCGCGCTGCCGGGAGCAGACAGCAGGACCTCGGCACTGCTGAAGTGCAGGAAGGCTTGCAGGCAGGCGTCGGCCTCACGCACAGCCCCACCTCCGCTCGCCCCTGTCTTCTTGGGGAGACTGGGAGCAACCCTCGCTGCAGGGAGCCGAGGAGCAGGGTTAAGTCCAGCCCCCACGACAAAAAAACGTAGTTGGAATAGTGGGAACTGAATGTGTTTACACACAGCCTCACCCGACACCTTCATCCAAAATACTGGTGCGTATAAAAATGCTATTTAGCGAGCCCTCCAACTTAGGGTAGTCAAGGTCTGCAGTTTAGAATAGAGCTTGTTTAGAAAGGGGAGTGTCTTGGGGCCAGAGTGATAGTACAGTGGGTAGGGCATTTGCCTTGCACGCAGCCGACCCTAGTTCGATCCTCGGCATCCCATATGGTCTCCCCAGCACTGCCAGGAGTAATTCCTGAGCGCAGAGCCAGGAGTAACCCCTGAGCATTGCTGAGTGTGACCCAAAAAGCAAAAAAAAAAAAAAGTCAAGTGTCTTGTGGCTAGAGCAGTAGCACAGTGGGCAGGGCTCTTGTCTTGCACCTGGGTTTGATCCCCAGCATATCCCATATGGTACCCCGAACACTGCCAGGAGCGGCCCAAAAACAAAAAAAAAAAGAGGACTGTCTCATATTTTAAAAACTATATAATGCCATATATTTTACTTTAACATTTTCCATTCAGCATTTTATCATGAACATATTTCCAATAAACTATTTCTACATCATTTTTAAAGTTTGCACTGAATATATCATATACTAATTCCTATAAATGAACATATATTACTTCTGATTTTTTTTCTTGATGCAAAAAGTATGGGTATGATTATCCTTTCAGACAAGTCCTTGAACTCACAAGTTATTTCTTCAAACAAAATTCCCAGATATGAAACATCTAGCTTGATTAATTTTTCTTTAGGGCTAGAAAGTTTTTTTGTAAGAAAGCCCAGACTTAGGGTCCAGGCCTTTGTACCTCAAATCATGATTATTCTTCATTTTTACCCCCTAGTAGTGACTTCTTGTTTGAAATGGAAACAAGCCTGGTCATGATGGGTTTTGTTGTTGTTCACAAGTCTGCAGCTTATCTTATATCTTACATAAAATGAGCTGTGGGGGTCATGCACTTACGAATTAAGACATGCATAGGTAATGTCTTGGGAATTTGGAGCAAGTTCCTGACTTCTTTTTTTTTTCCTGTTCATGTTTCCAACTTAATGGATAATAATGCCTGCTGTTTAACCTATTCTTAATTGTCAAGAATATAATTTTTAATGTGTCTTGCTTTTGCACTTAAATCACAAGTATTTTGGATTAATCTTTTCTTCACTTTTGTCTTATTTTGATAGCAATGAGAGGTCATTTGAATATATTAAATTCTTTTTATTAGGAATGACAGTGATGGAGAAGGAGAATCTGATGATCCTGAAAAAAAGAAACTACAGAATCAACTTCAAGGTTGCTTTGGATTTTCTTTTTAAGTTTACTATCTTACTTAAAAAATTAAAAAACAAAATTAAAGCAAAACCCAAAATCTGCTTCAGTTAATTGCTTATTTGAATAGTTTTTTTAACCTCTATTTAAATGAGGTTCAGGAACTGACTTTAGTTCCCAGGTCACATGCTAACTCTGTAGACATTTTCTTAGGATTTATTCTATTGGGTCTCTAATGGTTGGGGGTTTTATACCATAAAAATATTAGTCGTGTTTTACCTGCTTCGAAATGCCCTATCAGTCCACGTTACGCCCTTTAGTTTGTCTTGCTTGTCCCTTTCAGAGATGGTAGCTTTTACTACAAAGTGTGATGATATTTAAATTTAAATTTCCCAACATTGCCATAGCGTAGTTTATTCATTGGTGACTTCCTCATGTGTCCCACCCACTTTTCCTCGTCTGCTTTTTCACCCCATTTCATTGTTGCCATCTACATTCACCAATTTCTGCTTCCTATTCTCCCTTCCACCAGATACAAGCTCTTCCTACTCTACTCAGTGTATTGGCAGGATGGCAAGGCAGTGGGTTTTCCTTCCACTCATCTGCATTCTACTCCGGGGGCCTGATTAGGCAGGTTATCTAATCCCTTAGAGTCTGAGCTCCAAAATTGAAATCAGTAACTTCTACTGTTGAAAGGTTACAGTGTAAATACTGTCTGATATTATCAAGGCTCAGTAAATGGTCACTCTGAGTATCTAAAAAGATATCTGTTGGTGGAGGGGAGCGAACATTGGTGAAAAGATTGATGTTGGGACATTGTATGCCTAAAACTTTGTAAATCACTGTCTAATATAATATATATATATAGACAGCTATTTAATTGTTGGGTAGTTGTGGAGACCTGAAATATTAGATAATGATTTTTTTATTTTGAATTATATACTGTGATTGGCAATGTCTGTTTTGTTAATTTGAACTTAATGAATGGATGCGTGAACAGAGAAAGGCTTTCCTTTCTGTACACTTAATCTTGATTAATGATTGATGACAATACCTAGATTTAACCTTGCATAATTTACCTTACTGTGAAGATAAATCATAACTCATTTAGAAAATTCATAGCAGAATTTGAGTAGATGGTGCTCATATATATAACATAAATTTATTTTTATGTAGAACGCATGAAATGAAGTAAATATTTCCTCATAGGTTTAATAATCCGAATGAAATGTAGAAGAGTGAAGGGTAGAAGGGAATTGGCATTTGGGCTTTTTTCTTAATTTAGACTTAATTTGAACTTTGGGGTTGTAAACAATAATTATGGTTTTACTTAATTTATGGGCTGGAGCGATAGCACAGCGGGTAGGGCGTTTACCTTGCATGCAACCTACCTGGCCGACCCGAGTTTGATTCCTCCGCCCCGCTCGGAGAGCCCAGCAAGCTACCGAGAGTATTTCGCCCGCACGGCAAAGGCTTTGCAAGCTACCTGTGATGCATTCGATATGCCAAACACAGTAACAAGTCTCACAACGTTACTGGGCCCGCCCGAGCAAATCGATGAACAATGGGAGAACAGTGCTACAGTGCCTAATTTAGTCTACGTAGATTTTTATAATTTGGGGAAATAAGCTGCAGAATATAATTTAGAGTGATGGGTAGGATGATCTTACCTAGTGGCCAGCATGCTCTGTCAGGGGTGCACTCTGCCCTATGACGTGTCTGTCCTCTTCCAGCAGGCTGCTTCATAGCTTGTGGTTGATTAGTCTGGAGCGATAGCACCGTGGTAGGGCGTTTGCCTTGCACGCAGCCAACATGGCCGACCCGAGTTCGATTCCTCCGCCCCTCTCGGAGAGCCCGGCAAGCTACCGAGAGTATCTCGCCCGCACGGCAGAGCCTGGCAAACTCCCCGTGACGTATTCGATATGCCAAACACAGTAACAACAAGTCTCATGATGGAGACGTTACTGGGCCCGCTCGAGCAAATCAGTGAACAACGGGAGGATTGTGACCGTGACTGGAAAATTGGAGAAGCTTTTGATAAACGATAACCTAAAAAGGTTTTCTAGTGAGCCATATTAAAAAAATCTTTTGTTGATTTGCTACGCCGATGGTTATGACTTTTTGATATTCAGCATTAAAAAATGAAATAATTAGGGGCCAGAGCGGTAGTAAAACAGGTGGGCTGCTTGCCTTGCATATCTGGTTCCATCTCCAGCACTCCTTATGGTCCCTCGAGCCTGCTGGGAATGATCCCTGAGCACAGAGCTAGGAGTAAGCCCTGAGCACCACCCAAAACAAACAAAAATGAAATAATTAAAATAGCTTTGATGGTACAGACACACGCAAAACTGTAAATAGGTTTAATTTGAAGGCAAAATTGAAAATCTCAAAGTATTGCAAAGCAACAAGAATGTGTAACTCTCTTTTTCTGTCATGCCGTTCCTTCTCTTTCTCCTCCCCTCCTCACATCTATGGATATCTTTCCGTTTGCTTATCTTGAGTTAAAAGTATTTTCTTTCTTTTTTTTAAAATTTTGTTTATTTTTGCTTTTTGGGTCACACCTGGCTCTGTACCCGGGAATTACTCCTGGCGGTGCTCGGGGAACCATATGGGATGCCAGGGATCGAACCCGAGTCGGATGCGTGAAAGGCAATTGCCTTATCCACTGTACTATCGCTCCGGCCCCACGTTAAATATATTAAGTAGTTTCAGAGAGCATTAGATCACCATTTCTTTTGTTTAAAAGGAAAAATGATCAGTCAAAAATAATCTGTTGGACAAGACTGCCGGTGCTCCGGAATGTCAGTCATTCAGACAGTGGCCGTGGGTGAAGTGGGTGTTTCGCGTGTTTCCAAGCACTCTAATACTCCGTTCCTTGATCCTTCTAACCTGTCTGAGTCACTTGGAAGTGTGGACAGGTGGAATTATTTTAATCTAACAACAAGGAAGCAGAGCTAGCAAAGTGAAGTGACTTTTGCTCTAGTTATGAGCCAGCCGCCCAGGCATTCCTGCTCCTGCTGACGGATCATTCAGCTGCTTCCTCATCTGCTTTAGAAAGGTTTAGGGGCATTTTTATAAAATGTTTCCGGGCAGTTCTTGAGTTATTTCTTTAACGTCATCTTTCGTGTTGCCTAATATCTTTGATGGCATAGTCTTCCCTAATTCAAAGCCTACCTAAATTTTTTAGGTGCCATTGTTATAGAGCGGCCAAATGTGAAATGGAGCGATGTCGCTGGTCTCGAAGGAGCCAAAGAAGCACTGAAAGAAGCTGTGATATTGCCCATTAAATTCCCTCATCTTTTTACAGGTGAGATAACTTTAAAGTTGTCGTTTAATGATTTTTAAAAGCACCCTGATGACTGAGGTAAAAGCCGTATGTATTCTTGCTACCATATCATGAGTTACTACCCTCAGTTGTTACAAGGTAGTGGTAATGCCTTTATCCAAAGATATTTCATACACGTGTATGTCTTTGTAAAACATGTATTGCAGAACCACCCCGTTGTCAGCCCATAGAGCATAGGTAAGTCTGATAGAGACAGGTGCAGTGCCCTCATTGAAATGGAGTGTTATATCTGCATTAGAAAATTGAGCTCAACATTGTAATTGACGGGGAAAGTCCACATATGTTGGAAAAGTCAAGGTTTTCGTTAGAGTAACTAACTGGTTTCGTTTTTGCTTTGGTCATCTGTAGACTACTGTCCTTTTGCAGATACCTCTAATTATCCATAGTTGCCTTAATATATTTCTTAATGTATATCTGATACTTGATTGCCAGGTGTAACCTAGCCTGGTTTGTTTCAGGCTGTGTTATAATTCCTGTTGAGCAAAATTAAGATTAACATATATTTTGTACAACTAGTATTTAAGGGAGGGTTTTGTTAAGTTTGTCAAATCATGGGACCAGGAAGATGCAGGAATTCAGGCTTTGCATGCAGGAAGCCTGGGTGCACTCCCTGGCACCGCATGGTCCGCTGAGTACCTCCCTACCCCTCTTCCCTTCCCCCCCCACAAGAAACTCCCAAGCACCACACCAGGAGTATCCCTGAGCACTATCAGGTGTGGTCCCAAAGCAAAACAGACACAACGAACAAAAGTTTCCTCGTTATTTGAAAGAAAATGTACTATATGTGATAATAATCAGTGAACAGACAGTTGAATAGAACTGCCTCGGGGGGTTAGCCAAACTTTCTTAGGTTCACTCTTCCAGAAGTCACGAATTTCCAAAGAAAATACTTCCAGCTGCCCTTCCCGGTGGGTGTAGGTTCTGTTATCAAGCAGCGCACAAAATAAATGACCGAGAAGTGCTTTTTAACATGACTCATTTTCTGCTACTGAGCTGTAACCCACCGAGGTCCCAGTGCCCTTCTGTATACATAATTTTCTATGTGCACACTGTAGTTTTCATAGATGATAAGTGAACGAGCAAGCAGATGATTCTAAATAAAAACACTCTGGGCAAAGTGCTTAGGGGAAAATATATATGCATATAAAATACATATTACACACATACATTGTGTATGATCTCTCTTACTTTGATAAATTAAAAATGTTTGATTTTACCAGTAGCTTTAGAAAAAGTTCATCGCCGTATTCAGTATGGGTGATGTCTTTAGCCGCTGAAATGAAGCGTCTTGAAGGTCTCACGTTATTTTTCTGCTGTGAATTTCAGGCAAGAGAACCCCTTGGAGGGGGATCCTGTTGTTCGGGCCGCCTGGGACGGGAAAGTCTTACTTAGCCAAAGCTGTAGCCACAGAAGCCAACAACTCAACGTTCTTTTCAATATCTTCTTCTGACCTGGTTTCTAAGTGGCTCGGTGAAAGTGAAAAGTAAGTAAATAAGTTGGCTTTTTTTTAAATGATTCTATTCGTCAGGTAATTGCTGATGCCATTTTATCAAGTAATAATTTCTTATCTCAATAATAAACATGTAGACAAGTGACATAGTAATCTATCTCTCTATCAGACTTGTCTTTATGTTGAGATTTATGTTGTGGGCAAAGATAGTTTAAAAAAAATACTTAGCTGTAAAGTGATTTTCCAGTTGTACATTTTTTTTTTCTGGGCCAAAACATGATTAGGTTTTTCCAAATCTTGTAGAGTAATAGTACTTAATATTGGCATGTTGTTTTATTGTTTTTTTACTGTTATGCCACTTACTGTTTTTCAGAAACTGAAAGCTTTTACTTGTTTTTAGGTTAGTCAAGAACTTATTCCAACTTGCCAGGGAGAACAAACCTTCCATTATCTTCATTGATGAAATTGATTCTCTTTGTGGTTCAAGAAGCGAAAATGAGAGCGAAGCAGCGCGTAGGATTAAGACCGAATTCTTGGTTCAAATGCAAGGTGAGGCTAATTTTTTAAAAAATTTTCTTTATCATGTACCCATTATTATACTTCTAAAAGAAAATAATTTGAGCGGAAATTTTCCAGCCTTAACGATATTGAGTGTATCTTTTTTTTTTTTTTGCCTCTTTTCACTCCGGTTATCTACCACTTAGGTATATAATTTTATTCAACTATAATCATTTTGTGGGACCTGCTAGCATAAATAGTAAAGAGGTTTGTGCATTCACGAACTTACACATGAAACAGTATCATTAGTAAGAGGAAAACAGAAATCGGAAGTCTTTCAAGAAACTTTCAAATACGTTCCTGCTCTTACTTGTCACTTTCTGGAATAGCAGTGCTCTCACAGACTTGGGGTGCATTCAGTTTCTGTCATGTGCAGGAGTTTCTGTGACCAGTATGGCAAGCAGTGGGCAAGGGCTTTCTTTTTCTTAAATTTTTTAATTTTGTTTTGTTTTGGGGGCCACGCCCAGCCATGCTAACAGTTACTCCTGACTCTGCTCAGAATCAATCCTGGCAGGCAGGACGGGTTTTCTGTCTGGTACTTTGATGTTAAAGTACCAGGAAGTGAGTAGCTGTGGGAGGTTGCCAATCAGGCTGCCAAGGTTGTGCTGGGGTCTGAATGCGGTGAGCCCCACTGCAGATACCTGAGTGTGGAAAGAGGGTCAGTGATCTGGTTCCAGTGTCACCTTCTGTTTACTGGAGACATAAAGTCCTGAGGTTACATGCAAATAAAACATGCATCTGTAGTTTTGGGGGTTCTGTTATTGGGAATATTTGCATATTTTAGCAGTATGATATTTGATTGAAAAGAATTTTTATCAGAGTCTCAAGATGAGACGCTTTAACATTAAAGTACCATATTTTTAAGCTGAGGCTTAACCGGCACTAAAATGTCAACGTCTAGCAGCTCTCCTACTTTATTAAGAAATAAATAAATAAAATGTCAGCATATTTAACATAACACATATTTTGATGCAGGGGTTGGTGTGGACAATGATGGAATTTTGGTTCTTGGAGCTACAAATATACCCTGGGTTCTGGACTCTGCCATTAGGCGAAGGTATGGTGACAGTAATTCTCTTGTTTCTAACGACAGATATATAGCAAATGAATAGTTTAGTTTTTCTCTAGAAAGGAGACATTCAAATAACTTTTAAAATTATTAAATGTACTGTTGTCCTCTTGCTTTGGACAAAGAGTGGCAAGTGTTTGCTGTATTACCAGTTGAGATTTCTAAGATCGGAATCTGTCACATTGGAAAATAATTACCTATTCCTACCATTAGTTCGGATTAAGTTTTGTGAGCCCCGTTGCCTTGGATCTTTGCAAATAATTTGGCACCAGAGAGGGTAGCAGGTAAGGTGCTTGTCTTTCTATTCCCAGCACTCCATGTTGCCCCTCTCAGCCCACCAGAAGCGATCTGTGGGCACAGAGCCAAGACTAAGGCCTCGACACCACTGGGGTATGGCCCAGAAATTAAAGTAAAAAAACCCAAATATTTGGTATTTCAGTGGGGGGAAATATATAAAAGATTAATTCTTTCTTCTATATTCTTTCCTTACTCCATTTAATCTTGGACTGTAAAAATCAGCACTTTTGTTTTTGCTGTTTTTATCTTTTTTGGTTTGTTAGCTGCTTTGTCCTAGAAAAACACGCCCGAATTCTGGGCCAGAGTGATGGCATAGAGGGCAGGGCGCTCTCCTTGTATGCAGCTGCCCCAGGATTGATCCCTGGCACCACATTCAGTCCATGGGGCCCCCCAGGAGGGAGCCCAGAACACAGGGCCAGGAGCAAGCCCTCGGCACTACCGGGTGTGGCCCCAAAATAAAACATTCTGAACCCATTTCTAGAGATTCATTCATTCATTCATTCATTCATCATCCTGTTATTCGTCGATTGCCTCGAGCAGGCCCCAGTAACGTCTCTTTCATCCTAGCCCTGAGATTATATTCACGGCTCTTTAGGAGAATGAGACCCATCATTGTTACTGGTATTTGGCATATTTGGTGCGCCATGGGGAGTTTGCCAGACTCTGCCCTGTGGGCAGGCTATATTCGATAGCCTGCAGGTTTGTCCAGAGTAGGAATGAGATAATAAGATGTCATAAAAAGATGTCCTGATAAGATGTCCTGCGGTTCCGGTTCCGGGAGCTGGATTTTATAGTCTCTGAGTCTTGGCCGTTGATGGGATTACACGGCGCCAGGGGGCCAGGTGGTGGGTGTGACCCCTGCCTACTGGAATTTGGAGGATCTGGATTTCTAGAGATAATGGAAAAAAATCAGTGGTTTTGTTGTTGTTGCTGCTGCTGCTGTTTTAGTTTTCTGAGCTCTGCTGACTGGGTGCTCTGGAGTTGTTCTAAGCAGTGCTCAGTTGTTCATTCATAACTGAGGATCGAACCTCGACCTCTCATGTGCAGCGCGCACGCTCCAGTGCTTTGTGCCTCCCTCCCTCTCTTTCAAGAAGACGAAAATGTTTTCATTTTTATTGCCACAGAGCTGACTCGGGATTTTTCCTCAGTGCTTTCTCCCTCTCTCTAAATACCAAAATTCTAAGACAGCAACCTATTTATTCTGTTTAAAACCTATTACTTCTTTAGAATAGAGTGAATTATTTGTTCTGATGTACCCATTGGAGTGGAGTGGGGTGCTGTATCCGGGCGATCTCAGAGAGCTGGAGTAGTGTCCAGCATGCAGGAGCCCCAGGTGCTATGCTCACAGTCTCATGGTCCCCTGAGCACCACCAGGAGTGATCCTTGAGCAGTGACCAGGAGTTTTTGCATCAGGTGTAATTCCAAAAACAAAAATATGGACTTGAGAGATATTACAACACGTAGGCATCTCAGATGGTTTCCTGTGAACCATGAGGAGTAATTCCTGAATCCAGATCAAGCAATAACTCTTGAGCATCGCTGGGTATGTTCAAAAACAAAAAACAAAGCCTAAAAAAAATTAAAATTTGCTTTTTTATATAAGTAAACAGTCACGGTCCTCTCGTTGTTCATCGATTTGCTCAAGTGGGCTCAGTAACATCTCCATCATGAGACTTGTAGTTACTGTGTTTGGCATATCGAGTACGTCACGGGTAGCTTGCCAGGCTCTGCCGTGCGGATGAGATACTCTCGGTAGCTTTCCGGGCTCTCCGAGAGGGGCGGAGGAATCGAACTCAGGTCGACCATGTTGGCTGCGTGCAAGACAAACGCCCTACTGCTGTGCTATCGCTCCAGCCCCTTATATAAGTAAATTAAGTGAAATAAAGTGAGGACCTGGGAGATACTTTAGTGGTTCTGGGGTGGTATAGGACCCAAATTCAAACCCCAGCACCCAGTCCTCCACCCCACCCCCAATCCAGAGCACTGTGGGTGTGGCCCTGAAGGCCAGAGCACCACCAGATGTGTCCCTGACGGTTCCCAGTCTGCAGGCACCTCAAACTGAACCACCCTGCCCAGTTGGCCTTGATTCTCGGGAGTGGTCCCTGGGGCTCCCTGAGCACTGCTTGTGAGCCCCCAAAAGTAAAATAAAGAGGTCCTTTTGTATAACTGTGTTTATCTATGAGAGTAATCGTTACATGTATTAATCTTGATCGAGAAGTTCAGAGTGTGATTCTATGGGAAACTAATATTTCATGAGTTACAGACATATAAGCCCGATAGCCAAAATGACCCCCAAAACCTATGAAAACACGTAAACAGAACTGGTTACCTGCTCTTTGTTTCTTTGCGTTGAATATGTTCTGAATATTTCTCCCTTATTTATCCTGACTCCTGACCCGTTTAGGCCCATTTAACTTATCCTCATTGTGTGCAAGAGACCCTAAATCTTTTATTTTAGAAAATATACTTAGTAGAAATCGAATGTAGTAACATTCTTGGTTTAATTTCTTCCTTCATTTTAAGATTTGAGAAGCGAATATATATTCCTTTGCCTGAGCCCCACGCCCGAGCGGCAATGTTTAAACTGCACTTGGGGGCCACTCAGAACAGTCTCACAGAAGCGGACTTCCGAGAACTCGGAAAGAAAACGGATGGTTATTCCGGGGCAGACATCAGCATCATCGTGCGCGACGCACTGATGCAGCCTGTTCGCAAGGTGCAGTCGGCCACCCACTTTAAGAAGGTAAGTTTCGCACTGGAAGCCGTCCCTTTCTCTGTGTTCCATGGAGTTTCGAGACCTGCGTTGATTTTGTCTCTGAAGATTTTCAGGATAATTGATTCAGTGGAGTTAACATGATATTCATATTTTCATTTTATGGGAAAAAAAATCTTCCCGTTAGTAGCACCTTCCTCCCGTTGTTCATAGATTTGCTCGAGCAGGCACCAGTAACGTCTCCCTTGTGAGACTTGTTTTACTGTGTTTGGCTTATCGAATACGTCACGGGGAGCTTGCTAGGCTTTGCCGTGTGGGCGAGATACTCTCGCTAGCTTGCCAGGCTCTCAGAGGGATGGAGGAATCAACCCAGGTTGGCCATGTGCAGGGCAAACGCCCTACCGCTGTGCTATCTCTCCATCCCATTAGTGGCCACTATTAATAGTCCTACAATGTTTGAGAAATTTCTGTGAATAACTTTTACAAATATTTATTTGGTGAGTTATAGAAACTTCAGTTTGTTGTTGCTGCTAATGCATTTATACCTCAGACAAAATAGAAATAATGTTGAAACATTCTTAGAGTTTGCACGAGAGCAGATTTCCCTGTGCTGGTGGGTTCTTGAGAATTGAAGGATTTGCATACAAAACTCGAAGAACGAAAGTCAGTCCACTGTACAGAAAAGATGTCCAGGGCCCTCCCTAGGTGTCCAGGCTCTCCTTTTCCCATGAGCGATGACTGGGTCCTGTCCCTGGGGCTTCCCGGTCCCTGAATGACTTCTCTGCCCCACACTGTCCACTTGTCTCCTGTGAATGGTGGCCAGATCCTGTCCCACGCTGCTCTCTGTCTGTGTGCAGCTGCCCACACCAAGTACCCTGGCTCCGTGGTCACCAGGCCTCCCAGCTGTCCCCCAACAGTTCCTGTTGCCTAGTCCTGGGTTTCCTACTCTCTAGCCTCGTGTGTGTGTGTGTGTGTGTGTGTGTGTGTGTGTGTGTTGTGTGTGTTGTGTGTATACGCATGCACGAGTCCCAAGCTCAGCACTTTCTCCACCTCCCAGACACCCCCCTTCTCCTCCCCCCGTATTCAGGTTAGGTCCCTGTCCATCCAGGCTCATGCAGCCACACCTGACCTGGGTCCAGAGAAAGGGCAAGCTCTGGGCTTCCTTTTATCAGTAGCCAAATCCCCCCCACCCCCCATTCCATTCTACCTTCTGATTGGCTACCTGTTCCAAGGGCAGGGATTTAAAGTGACCTGTACATCTTTTCTGTACAATAAACTAACTTTCAAGTGATATAATTCATACAAATAGTTCAAAGTTTGTTGATAAAGCTTTAGTTCTTTCACACTAAAACTTTCAGGTATCACAGAAGCTTTGAGAAATAATAAACTTAAAATTTTTTTTTAATATGTCTGGTTTTTAACTTCATTTCCATTAAATATACCCTAGAGAAAAAAGGAAAATCTTAGCCAGGGGCCGTTTATTTTTAACTTCTTGTGTTTCTTTTTTCTTTTTTTTTCACATTGATAGTGATATTTTAATAAAAAGAGATTATAAGTCATCTTTATCTCATTTTCTTTTTCCTTTTTTTTAATAATGTAGGAGTACTGCTATTTGTTCAATCATTGATTAAGCTGATTGAATTGGACGTGAACTCCCCATAACTTATTTTTTTTTCTTTTTTACTGAGATAGAGTTACAAAGCTTTCATGTTTGAGATTCCGCTGTGTACTGGTGGAACACCCGTCCCTCCATCAGTGCATATATTCCACCACCGTCCTTCCCCCCATTTCTTCACTCTGCCTCTGTGGCAGACAATTTCCCCGATACTGTCTTTCTAAATTTGGGTATTATGTTTTGATTAAATTTTTCCACCACCATTCAAGCCTGCCTGCCAGGGGCAGACGCTAGATAATTTATTTTCCATTGATCATTTTGACTATCATGAGAGCTTGTGCGGCTGCAGTTGTAAATGTAAATTTTTAGACTGTAAATAGTTGAGTTCCAGAGACATCTTTGTATGGCACTAATCCATTTTGGGATTCAATTGGGAGTCTCTGGGCCAGGACTATTGGTGTGCTAAGATGGCACCCGAGGCAAATTGTGGGCATGACAGCCAGTCCGCTGGGCAGGCAGGGACCTGGGGAGGGACAGCCCGATTCCTTTACCACCATGTGTGACCTGGAGATTTCATCCTAGAACTTGCATACCTGGGCCTTGCTTGTGAAAGCTCTTGGTCACCAGGATTCCATCTAGAGTAGACGGGGAGACTGGAACCTGCTCTGTCTGGGGTACCTACATGAAATTGGCTCAGTATGGGGCCTGGAGAGATCTCTGGCCCTGTGGTGTATTCAGGGACTCATGGCCATGTCTCTGGGCCAGGGCTATTGGTGCACTAAGATGGCGTCCAGAGGCTAATTCTGGGTGTGACAGTCTGTTGGGCGGGCGGGATCTGGGACAGACAGCCCCCGGCCTCTTTTGCCATGCGGCCTGGAGATTTAATTCTGGAACCCGCATACCTGGGCCTTGCTTGTAGAAGCTCTTGGTCACCGGGATTCCATCTGTAGCAGGCGAACTTCTTGTGTTTCAATAAATAATTTATTGTAGAAAAATTTAAAGTAAAGCAGTATTCATCTTTACTCAGAGATAATCATGTTTGTTGTATATTTTTCTAATTATTTTCTGAAATATCTTAACAACGTAGTACGTTTTCAGATTTCCTGATAATGGCCAAAGTCCTAATGTTTGTTTAATTTGTTCAGATGAATATTTCAGTTTCCTTTCATTTCAGGTTTCTGGACCTTCTCGAGCTGACCCTAACAATATAGTTGATGATCTGCTGACGCCTTGTTCTCCTGGCGACCCTGGGGCCATAGAAATGACCTGGATGGATGTTCCTGGGGACAAACTCTTGGAGCCTGTTGTTAGCATGGTCAGACAGTTTGTTTGATTTTAAGAAAAATTGTAAAACATACTTTTGTCAAAGATAAAAAATTTTAGTAGGTGAGATGAGCTAGAAAATATTTATTTGATTAAACATTTATTTACTACTACACAAACGTAGAGGAGTAATTGAAATAATTGAGTATAAATTGTTAAAAAATAATTTGCTCGAGCGGGCCCAGTAACGTCTCCTTTGGAGACTTTGTTGTTACTGTGTTTGGCATATTGAATACGTCATGGGGAGCTTGCCAGGCTCTGCCGTGTGGGCGAGCGATAGCACAGCGGTAGGGCGTTTGCCTTGCACGCAGCAAACATGGCCGACCCGAGTTCGATTCCTCCGCCCTTCTCGGAGAGCCCAGCAAGCTACCAAGAGTATCTCGCCCGCATGGCAGAGCCTGACAAGCCACCCGTGATGTATTCGATATGCCAAACACAGTAACAACAAAATCTCCAATGGAGACGTTACTGGACCCGCTCGAGCAAAAAATAATCTTTTAAGTAATTTGTAATTTGAGGAAAATTTAATTTTAAGTGGAAAAGCTGTTATTCAAAGCTGTACAGTTTTCTAAATTTACAGGTTTGATATCTATCTAGGTTAACTTCACCAAATTGCATATAGTTGTCAAGACTTACCTACTAACCTTCATAAAAACTAGGAGTTGGAGGGTTCCTGGGGGCATGTGGCCAGACACATGAGGAGCAGGGCCAGGGCTTCTTCATACAAAGGAGCAGTCCAGCTCTTAGAGCCCTCCTCCCTGTGGTGAGAGTTTGGTTTTATAAACAAATCTGTTTTTATAAAATATCCAGAACCCCTACCATGTGTCATGGTGTCCGAGGACTTCTTTAAGGTTTCCAAGAAAGTTTGCAGTAAAAGACTTTGAAGAAAAGTTTTGGGGAGTGGCGGTACAGCATGTCAGGCACTTGCCTTGCACATCACAGACCCGGGTTTGATTCCTAGCACCCCTTGTGGTCCACCACCCCCTTCCCCCCGCCTCCCGAACATGCCAGAAGAGTGATTCCTGAGCCAGGAGTAAGCCCTGAGCATTGCTGGGTTTGGAGGGTCTTGGGGGGTGGAGTTATATAAGCAAAGACATAACTGTAGTTCATTTGGAAGAATTGAATAAGACTTCATAAGTAATAAGAGTTCTGGGGATCGAAGAGAGAATGTGGTGGGCTGGTCGCTTGCTTTGCACGCTGTAAACCCAAGTTCAACCTCCGACACCTTTTATGGTCCCCAGAGCACCTCTGAGGTCACTGTCACTGTAAGGCATATTATTTTCAAGACTTACTGTGATTAGGAATATCTAATGTGTTTGTGTTTTTTTATGAAAAAATTTCAGATTGTAAAATTCTCTTCTGGTAGATATTCCAAGTTTTATGTGAGAATTGACAGTTTTCAGAGAAGAAACTTACATGGTATACAGACAAACAAGTAGGCGTAAATAGCTGCAGATGTATAACTTACATAAATACACACTGAACAAGTGTGTATACAAATTAGATTTATGAGTTAACTGATCTTAATCCTTATTTCAGAAACTCTTTTTTGCTTAATTCTTGACATTTTTAAAAATTTATTTGATGGGGTGGGGGTGGGGGGCTTGGGCCACACCTCATTGTACTCAGGTTTTACTCCCGGCTGGCTTTATGGTCACGGTTCACTCCTGCCAGGGTTTGTGGGCGATCATATGCAGCACAGTAGATCACATCTGGGTCGGCAGCATAAAAGGCAACCTCCTTACCCACTTAGTATCTCTCTGACCCACAAGATCATTTTTCAAAGTTTTGTACTTGGGACCACATTCTCTTTTAGGGAACATACACTCTTAGACATTTTAAAAACAAATTCCTTTTATCAGCATATTTTATTATCATTTAATTGATAATTTTAGCTAATACTTTAACATTTTGTTATTTTTAGAAGGGGTCATGCTGACAGTTCTCAGGGCTCACTTCCTGTTGTCCTGGGGGAACCAGGTGATCCTGGGAATTGAGCCATCTAAGCATTGACTACTGGTTATATTCCTTTCGAATCGCAGTTGGAAAACTACTCTTTTGTGTGTGTGTGAGGGGTGGGGCCAGGGAGCACACTGGGCTGTTCTCAGGAGTCACTTCTGGCATCTGGGGTGGGGGAGAAGGGGGACGTGAGAAACACCTTACCCACCTACCTATCACACTAGCCCCTGGAAAACTACTCTTATTTTAGAAAACTAAAAACCGGAAAAGACATCAAGGGCATATTTGGGGCACCTTTGTCTTGATGCTAAGAGGAATGTCTTGCTGATGGCAACGGGGTGCGGGGAATGGACCCTGACGATTGAGTCAGGACAGGCAGGCAACTGAAGGCTTCTCTGTGGGGAGTAATGCCGGAAGGATAAGGAATTGGATGTAGTTATTAATGGCACTGCAGCTAGTCAGATCAACGTTGAGTAACAGTAATAGCAATGGCAATGCAGTACGTTTTACTCTAAATGTATGAAAATCAAAATAAATCAGAATCAGTCCTATTTCTGAGAGTATTCATGACTGGATGTTCCTAATGCACCCTCTCTTCTCCCTGACAGTCCGATATGTTGCGGTCCCTCTCGAGCACGAAGCCCACCGTCAATGAGCAGGACTTGTTGAAACTGAAGAAGTTTACGGAAGATTTCGGCCAGGAAGGCTAGAGCAGAGGCTGCAAGGAAGACCCTTACCATATATGTTCTTTCTGTTGTAGGTATTTTTGCCTTTCTTGGCTGACATTCAGATTACTCGCAGTAAAACTCGCCGTCCGTCCACAGGGGAATATAGCTCTGACTTCAGCGGTTCCTTTCAGTTTAATCTGTGCTTTTGTTCCATTACCTATTTGGTGGCACCTGTTGTTATACCCGATTCTAGAGGAGGGGGCTTATGAGGAAATGAATGCTTTATCAATGGCAAGAAGAGAAATTACCCAGTTAAAAAGACCATTAAAGTTGACTTGCGATGCAAATATTTAAAATTGTTATAAATGGTGATCTTTGCAAGCAGTTTCTTTTTTAAGCTAGAATAATAAGGCTGTATTTCATATTTTTACAAATAGTCTTAGGCATCGTTCTTCTCAATGTAAAATTTTGTTCACTTCTTACGAAAACGTAAATGCTAGCATCTTTATTCTCAGGGATGGGCAATAAACAGAAAAGAGCACTGTGATTGGGTTAAAGATAACTGATGTGTGTTTCAGTTCAGGCTCTGAATAAATCCTTAGGACAAATTGATGTTTATCTCTGTAGATTTAAATAATTTGTTTAAAAGCAGCAGGCTTTTATATTTAACTAAATACCTTTCACTGTGCAATCTCAAGAGAAAGACTTTCTAAATTAGGCATTGTCTTTATCTTGAAGAAATTTGTCTATTTCAGTGTCTTTTACTAGCAAGATTGACCAAAACCGGTGGATAATATGTACTTTTTAAACAACTTTGTTATGAAATACTGTAATGGAAAAACCTTTGCTAAAAAGATTGACCTCTTTGAATTGTGGGAAATTCATTGTGTGATGTTGCAGTATGTGTGTGTATGTGTATATATCTATATATACATAAAATTTTTTTAAATATATAGAATAGCAAGGGTCTTGTCTTCTATCTTTTAAGTTCAGGGAATGTTTTTTTCCTGGCCCACACATACAGTATCATTGTGATGCTTCTTGAAGCTTTGGAGTTGAGCTGATGTCTCCTTAAATAATAAAATACAAACTTGATATTATATTATTTTAATATCTTCAAATAAGTAATCTGAGGGTGTGTATTACACACTTTAGCATCAGCACTAAGTTGTGCCTTGTATATTTGCATTGACTAAACTTGCAGAACATTAATTTAGCTAGAATAAGGTAGATTCCTAAATTCTACCTTACAAATGCTATAGAATTCACTTGCATTTTTAAATATATTTGCACATTTACATGTTATGCAACTTGGTTGCCTTTGGATCTTCTGTACAGATTTTTTTGTTGATATTAAATGGAAATCATAGGCGTGAAAAATACTGTTCTTATGTGAAGTAAATTTATATAATCTTCAATTGGCTAATCTTCTGTGTATGCTTCCTTTTTTTTGGAGATCTGTATAATATAAAGTAACTGTCTTAAGTGATTACACAGAAATTATTAAAAGTCATTAAGATACAAAAATCTAATTTCCAGCAGTTTTGAAGTGAGAACTAGGAATTGGTTTGGTAGACTAACTCTAAATTCTTTGTGGTTGTCTTGTAGGTAGTTTATATCCTGTGCTTGCAGCAGAATTATGCAGGCAATCTTGCTATTAGTTGCATCGTTTGGAAAATCAGTAGTTATATTTACAGTATTCTACTTACATTGATGAAGCACCTGACCGAATAGTATGGAAGTATTGACTTAGAGGACGTGCTGTTACTCTTCCCTCTCACATATGCTCTAAAGCTGTGTCTGCCCATATTCCTTCCAGCCACAGCTCTGGTTTCTCCATTTTTCTCTAAAATGGTTTCTGGAATTTGATTCCCTCAGACTTGCTGTAGAGTATAGCACATAGGTCATTTCCATGTGTTTGTCAGTAACGGGTGAGTCTGAGGGAACTGAACGCCCACGCCCTCTGTTGTTTTGTATGGGAGCCACGCCCCGTAGTGCTGGGGACCCACCCCCAGTGTGGCCAGGCCTGAGGGCTCCTGGGTGCAAAGCTGTGTTCCAGCCCTTGGCGCTGTCTCCCTGCCCTTGACCCCATGCTGTTTTTATCCAGAATTATAAGAATTAGAAAACTTCGAGGTGTTTTCGAGACTGCAAGTCAATCTTACTTTAGCATCTCTATGAACTTTCATACGTATATTTTAGAATACATATGTATATTTTTTTAATCGCAGTGTGAAACCTACAAAGACCTTATTTACAAAGTATTTCATGAGGATGTTGATTTCTGGGTTGACTACATGTGCACACAGAAAAGTGGAATGAGTATATTTGACTAATGTGCAATAGTAAATTTGTGTAGTTAAGAAGTGGACATAACCTCCCAGGACTGTTCCCGTCTGTGTTCTTAACGTGACTGCAAATGTGGCAACATGGAGCGTTCGTGTGGGGGTTTCATCTCCACTCTGAGCACTCAGAGACTGTATTTTCCTGCCTCCCTGCCTGCCTCCTTCGTTCATTCATACCGTTCTCCCACCCTCACATGGTGTCCATTCTGCTTCCTCTGCTGGTGCAAGTCTGACTTTCCTTAGAAATGACACATGACCCTTGTTAAAGAATTAACTACCCACATGCTACTTTTTCAGTTTTTTCGGCACCAACCTGCCATTACTCTCTTAAAATTTGCACGGTCACAGAACATTCTCTTAGGTATTTATCAGATAGATTGTAATTTCGTCACAGAGTTACAATTCCCTTGGAATGAGCATGGTATGGACCATATTTATTACTTAATAAAGGCTTAAAAAAGAGATCAGGGACTCGAGGGACATAATCATGTGTGATGGACTTGATTCCCGGTACTGCACATCTCCCTCCCCAAGGACCGCTGGGTATGATCCTAAAAAGTCAGTATTGCCGAGGAATGGGGGAAGTCTCTCTTTTAATTTGGTGAAATTTAAGAAAATCCAGATGGGCTGCCCCTATCACCGCCTGTAGGGCATCCTGGCCATGAGCTGCTCAGCCATCCTTTGTGGGCCTCCTGACCAGGTCTCACATTCACCACCGGGGCCCGCTGCACCAGGGGCTGCCCCTCCAGCCAGGAAATCTTCAAAGGGTTGTCAAGCTGCAGCCTTGAGGTTGGCAGATGCCAACCTGCGGTGGCTGCTCCTTCCTGGAGAGCACTGGGTTGAGCACCTCCCAGCACCTCTGCAGAAGTTTTAGGAGCACATCTCTACAGCTGCTGCCCTTTGGCGCAAGCCAGGGAGATTGACTTGAGGAAAGAGTGCTTGACCCACCTGAGCCACCTGCGTTCAGGGAAATGCCAGGCCTACATCACATCAGTCCTGACATTGGCACGGGCATTGTGGGTTCATCACCTTTCCCTAATAGAAAAGAATTTCAGGGGACTGGAGTGATAGCACAGCAGGTAGGGCATTTGCCTTGCATGCGGCCGACCCGGGTTCGATTCCCGGCATCCCATACGGTTCCCTGAGCACTGCCAGGAGTACTTCCTGAGTGCATGAGCCAGGAGTAGTAGCCCCTGAGCATTGCCAGGTAAGACCCCCCCCCCCCCCAAAAAAAAAAGAAAAAGAAAAGAATTTCAGTAGGAGGCAAAGTAATAAAGCAAGGGTTTTTTTTTAATTGAAAATTAGAAACATGGGGGCTGGAGCAATAGCACAACAGGTAAGGCGTTTGCCTTGCACGCAGCCAACCCAGGTTCGATTCCCAGCATCCCATATGGTCCTCGAGCACCACAGGAGTGATTCCTGAGTGCAGAGCCAGGAGTAACTCCTAAGCATCACTGGGTGTGACCCAAAAAGCAAAAATAAATAAACATTATCTCAAAAATGTGGACCAAAATATTAAAGAAAGAAAGAAGAAAGAAAGAAAGAAAGAAAGAAAGAAAGAAAGAAAGAAAGAAAGAAAGAAAGAAAGAAAAGAAACTTAGAAACAGGCTCGAGGAGAGAAAGAGGGGCAGTGTGTTCGAGAGAGCTTGGGCAGCAAAGAACCATCGAGACAGGCAGGTGAGATGCATGTCCAAGGGAGAACACAGGTTTGAGAAGCAGGCCTGTAAGGAATTTATTAAAGCTCAGTATCCACTTAGGATTCAAATCAATTCTAAAACTAGGAATGGGGCAGCGTTTAAGGCACACTGGCAGCCTGCCTGGGTTCATCTCTGCACCACATATGGTCCAGCCAATGCAGTAAGTTTAGGGCTTTATTGGAGGAAACAAAATTTTCATTCTCACATGGCATGATTGTGTATGTAGAAAATTCGTATTAATCTAAAATTCAAAATAATTTATAAGAAAGTTATAAAAGGTACATATTTCATATTCTTGGAAAAGTACTATTACAGCATTAGATGACATCAGGAAAAATAAAAGCCTCAGATATCCCCAAAATGAATCTGAAAGGAACATAGGACCTCCACATAGAAAACTAGGAAACAGTTCCCAAAACTTTTTAAGTTGCTAAGTAGAGACCCTATTTCTGAATTGGAAGACTCCCTCTTCAAAGAAGTCAGTTCTGGGCAAATTGGCATATAATTTAATTCCTAAATTTAGAAGTGGGTGATTGATAACATGTATTTGGGGAGAGAGAGAAAGGAAAATAAATTCCTAATAATTTGCTGGTTATTGAAAGGCTATCTTTTACACTTTGAATTCATATTAAAATACAGTATCTTTCTCCTAGCTCGATTTTTCTCTTAGTCACCCGTAATATCCATTTCGACATCGGTAGTCTACATAGATATCTGGAATGATTTTCACTGATGTGTTAATGTTATTTGTGAGAGTGAGATTTGGCTGATTTTTTTTTTTTGCCTCTTTCATTGTCTGATATACCCGTTATCTTACTTTAAATGAGAATCTCTCTTGCTGTTCCTTATAGCCCCTCCTTGCGTTGTTTTTCTCTGTAGCAGTTACCACAAGCTAACACACTGTATAATTTACTTTTTTTCTGATTTGTACTTTCTCCTGCTGATGTGTATTCTGAGCTGGGATATTCTTTTCTCTTTTGTTCTCCTCCGTGTTTCCAGTATCTAGAACAGTGCCTGGTGTCTGATGGGTGCTCAATAAATCTTTGTTGACTGAATGATTCTTTGTTTTCCTTCTAAGTTAGCATACTCTATAGTCAGCGTGCGTAATTCCACCCCCCCCCCCCCCTCAATTTTTGACTTTTTTGATGGTTTGTTTTTAAGAAAATTGGGAATTGAGGCCAGGGAGATAATATATTGGGTAGGGTACTTGCCTTGCATGTGGCCAACCCAGGTTGAATTCCTGGCATCATACAGTCCCCAAGCCCACCAGGAGTGATTCCAGAGTACAGAGCCAGGAGCAACCCCTGAGCATTGCTGGGTGTGGCCCCAAATCCAAAAAAAAGAAAAATAGGAGTTTAAAAAAAAATGGGAACTGAAACATACACATACACCGAAAATTTAACTGGCTCTAACTGGGTGATAAGTTTTTGTTTTTGTATTTTGACACTAAGTATTGTTTTTGTATTTTGACACTAAGTAAGGTTTTATGTTTGTAATCTTTAAATTATTTTTATTACTAAATATGTAGACATTTTAAGAAAGTATTAGCCATTTAGACTGCTAGTCATTGGAATTTGATTTTTCTCCTGGAGCCCAAGGAAATGACAAAAACTCTTAGGAAGAGAGAAAAAAAAAGACAAAGCAGTTCATCCCAGAGCCATCACTCACAGGTAGTTTGGAGGGGTGCTGTTCATCCAAACTTGCTTCCTGGTTTGGGTCACAACCCTTTCCTCCTGCAGGAACCAAATTAGGTAGAGCTTGTGGTTCTGCATCACTTGGCAGGCAGGCCTGGCCTGGCCATGACATGTTAGGTCATACCACCCATGTTCTGCCATCATGCGTACCATGGCAATGGCAGGACATTGAAACAGGCTCGGCGACAGCTTCTCACTAACTGGCATGTTTCTGGCAACTCTTGATGAGACAGCATAATTGCAGTATTATCTATGGTCACATGGAGTGATACGCTCAGTGAAGGCAAGGTCTTGAGAAACCTTAACTTTGTAGCTGTTGTGGAACAAAGTAAAGGCATGAGAACTATTTACCGGGGTCAAGGTGGGGGTGGAAATCTATGAATGGGCTAAGATAGTTCTTGCATCCAAAGTACTACAGTTAATCAAAAGTAAAACTCAGTATGTGTGCATTTGTGAGAATTTGGAAGAATCTGAGAATTAGTGGATATTTGGAGGACAGTGTATTGGGATGAATTAAGTTATTCAGTTGGGAAATCCTTTTGTTCCAGATATGGTTGAAATAACATGGGTTCGGTCAACAGAAACTCTGAATTTGGTATTTTGGTTTGAACATCTGAGAGGGTTTTAATTGCTTGCATGACTGGTTTTAGAGAGATTGAACTCAACGCTGGACTCGCTCTGCACTCTAATGTGAAAAACAGTCAACATCTGTAGGAATCAAATATTAGAATGGATTTATCATACAAGATTTATTCACAAAGCCGCAACAGTTACGAACCAGAAACCAGTCCATTAACCGAGTCTTTGCCAGATAAAAGGAATGCATTCTGAAGTGTTTCACGAGGCCCTCTAATTTTGCAGAAACTGGAAAGAGCCTTTGGTTACAGGAACCAAGTTCATTTCATTTCATTTCATCATCCTGTTGTTCGTCGATTGCCTCGAGCAGGCCCCAGTAACGTCTCTTTCATCCTAACCCTGAGATTATATTCAAGGCTCTTTAGGAGAATGAGACCCATCATTGTT